ATATATCATCACCCTCCTCCTCCTCCTCCTCCTCCTCCTCCTCCTCCTCATGATGCCCCTACATCACATGCGTGTTTGGCGCTCATCTTCATTCTCGGCCGATTTAGATATCTTTCTACCCCATTATCTGTCTATATGTGTTCTCACAACTTTCTTACTGTGAACCAGCGCTGCATGGCCTCTCTGGCAGCTTTGTATTCGCGATGAAACGACAATGTGAAGCGTAGGATCAAAACATGCAGTCAGATATTCGTTAGATTGTCTCGAGGTAGAGCAACTGTAGACCGTCTAGTTCTGATGAAACTAATCCCAGACCCTGAAATGTTGTTCACCTCTTCTCTGCGTTGGATTGAAGGTGCGCTATACCATCCATCCTCTCGGTATCGATCCCTGCGCTGATATGTCGCTGACCCGAAGACCTGCTTTTCCGCAATCATAAAATAGATGGCTGGGGAAACCAATTGCATTCGCTCAATTTCTGTCACAATTCGCGCGCTGAAAATTTGGTATGGAGCGTTTCTGGCAATTCGAATGTTCATATGTTGACTAGATTTTGCTTTCACAACTGTCTCCTCGAGTGCAGGTCATTGAAAGCCCGACATGGCCTCCCTTTCTGAGTCCTCATGACAATGTCTGCGATATTACTTGAGCAGCTTTAAGGCAGGATTCGCCTGCTACCAGCTTACAATCATCCCCACTACTGTCCTCTCGGCTGGCCTCTTTAGGTATGCGGTATACACCTGATGTCTCATATTTATTTGTACACATGGAATTCTCCTTCCTTTCCGCTACAGAAGCACCTTAACACGCGAGGATGCTATTCTCGTTTGTGAGGCGATTATCTACATTGTACATTGGAGGTGAGTAGGCCATGCGGGGACATGAAGACGAAGTTCATACTAGGCCTATAGATTGTAGCTTTCTACTACTTTGCGTTATCATAGCAATAGTACGCCAGTCGCAATCTTGCATTCCGCATATGTCGCGCTGCATTCACCACCGTGCGTCGTCTAATAAGCTCCATATTGCAATGGCGACCCCATGAATCCTCACGTTGAACAATGTATGTAGTTTTTCCATTGTGGTTTGCAACACAGGCATCGAGGGTTATGGAAGTGAACGATTCTGCCCCTGATCCGCCCTGCAAAGAATATAGAAAGGAGCAATAGTACCGCAACCGCTGTTGGCAAACCTCTACGCGAGCGCTGCCGCCACAGTGAAGAAGATGGAAACAATGAAAAGCTTGAACTGAGTGATTCTTCTCGCTAGTAAGCAAGGAGATGCCGTCGACTCTCGTGGACAACTCAGCTTCTATGAAGACTCCGAAGTTCTGACAGATTGACGACTTGGACTGGACTGAATGCATAGATGTCTTTTCCTGACTCACAAAGATAATCTGCCGTCCAATCTCAGTTTTGTAAGATCTCGTGGATCTAGTAGAACGTCTATGTACGAATTACACAATTTCGCCCAGAATTTACATAGGTAACCTTTCGGGGTCGTCAGAAAGTTTCCTCGTATAGATCGAATATCTCGTTTATAGAATGATTCATCTGGATGCGGTTTCCTATGTTGAACCCGAGATGGGCTTACTGAGATGAGCTTACTTCCTTTGCATACCGGCTTCATAAATTATGCTCATTTTTGGCGCTCTTTTCCATGAGTTTCTAGTGTCCGGTACATTTGAATTGAGGTGTGATGTGGCCATAAGAAGAGAATCTTGCTCTGAATTGACATAATCATCAATTGTGATCACGTCCTTACAGTCGAGAGTCACATCACCCCCTACCATCACACGAGCTCTTGACAACACATAACATTCGCAAACAGATAAAGCAGTTATACACGTCGACGCTAAATCTCGGTCAAACGACTACATGTACATATAAACAACATATTGAAGAATTGAAGGTATATGAATATCACTTGTATTTGCTAGCCCGCCGACGTGATCTCAGCCACCAAAGGTGAGATCAAGGGGGACGCTGTAGGTGGGCCTGCTCGAGGTCAAAGCCTGAGTGAAATGGCCCTATGGATACGATAAGTGGTATATGGGATGGTGCTGGCCAACTGACTCACCCATCCCCACGCAGTATTGGATTTGAACCCAACCGCCTCAAAGTAGCTGTAGAACTCTGCAAAACAATGAGTTCGCATATATTCGTTATACATACTAGTTATGCATTGTGTCAACGTACTCAGATTGGCTTTTCCTACGGTCGAGCTCCACATGTCCAACCCATGGATGGGGATGTTGTCGCGCGGCAACACCTGCATGTCTGTCAAGGGAAGTTTGCGTAAGAGATATCATTGATAGGCGTACCTTCACAACCTTGTAGTCCCCATTCGACCAGTCGAAGACCCCATGGTTCCACCAGCTTTCGTTGCTCAGGCCGCCATTGTAACGATCCTGGGAGGCCACGGAATAAGCACCTCATTTAGGGATGGCAGGTTGGAACACTCGCGTAATAGTCCTTATAAGAGATGGCTACATCGAACGTGTGCAAATTCTGCTGGACGGGAGACTCCATGAACTTTTCGCGAACGTAGCTGTCCGAGTACGAGGCCGTCCACTGGAAGGGAGTCTTGCCGCTATTCTTGAAAAGGTTAAACGTCTGGCTGAAATCAAACGTATCTATATTCCAATGCATCAGCTCGGTCACCCATGAGTTAAAAATGGAAGCCACGAACAGGTGTAATTGGTCCCAGACTGACTCCCCCCAGACGGAAGCTGCCTGTAGCACGTCAAAAGACCGCTCGTGTCCTCTACTGTGAGACCGAGTTGATCTATGAAGTAGTATTCAACCTCCGATGTGCCCTCGTTTCCCCAAGGACCAAACCATCTTGGAGAGCTACTCGTGCTACGGACGAACGATCCGCTGTACGTAGCGATCGTGTAGACCACCCCGCCACTAGAGCTGAAGCCGCTATTCGGGACGGGAGTGGCATTTGTAGCATAGGAGCTGAGATACACCGTCCAGTTCAAGTCGAATAGTTGCCACCTGGATTGCGGCAAATCCTGCCAATAATTCCCTTCGTCGGACCAAGGTGTACGGGCGCAGCGAAATGTCGCACGATTACTAAAAGAGGAGCTATCGACAATGTAAGGGGCGGACCAAATGAAAGTCAAGAAATCAATTCACGAGCTCACGAACGACGTGTCTGACGGAGGAGTTAAATTGGACGCTGATGCACGAACGGATGCGTTCGCAGATTCATCAGAGGCCTCTTGCACAGAGCTAGAGATGAGGCGGATGGCATATTCGAGCTTGTCCTTCAGGGTGACAGTGCTATCCTTGCTGTCGTCACGGGTGACACTATCAGAGTTATTGGTGTCAGTCGCTTCAGTCGTAGCTGTGGTGTCTGCATCCCGTGTGTAACTCGGATCACCATTGACGATGGAGAAACCGAGTATGAGGTGAACAAGATCAAGCTCCGCCATCCTGTCAGATTGCAAAATCACGACGTGATTTAACGAAGAACCCGGTGAATACCTACTTGTAGGCAATGATAGGTACACCCTCGTCAAGCTCGATCAAGGGAAGGTCGATGACCGTCTTTGCGGCATCCTTGAGCGCCTGCGAGATCTCCGCACTGGGAGCGAAAAGAAGGAGCACCACCCTGTCCTTGAGAAGTTTAGTGATAGCGTCTGCATTCGCTAGATCTTCATCATGCCCAAAAAGAGCAAGCGCAGTAGGACTGGGGATGTTCGGTAACGACCTGTACTGGAGAGCAGACAATGATGAGATAAGGTCTACGAATGCTCAAGCAAGCTCCTGACCTTCGAATATCTCTCAAAACCAGCATACGAATAGCCGGCGTCCCGAGCAAGTGTACCAAATAAAGCCGGGGTAGACCCGACGGAGACGACAGTGCCTGAAGACATGGTAGTATGTAGAAGAGATTCTCTTGGTTTGAAAACTGTTGGGAGGAGAGTGCGTCTCCAGCTGGAACGGGAGCTAGCTCTTATACGTGTTTGGACCTCTGGGAATATATCTCATGGAAAACCGTCCGAAGTGATATCGTTTCTGCAGGAGCAAGAATGTCAGATAGATCCCGTACCAGCACAGCGAAGCGAGTGCTTACTGCCATTTCTTGACACTGTCATTGACAAAGAGGTGGGATCTCAACCGACTTCGTGTGACAGCGACAAGGTCTCCTGATTGTGCATTTGCAAGCAGCAGTTTGTGCTCTCTTCCTCCATAGCTTCCTTGTGTCCAAGAAGGCGATAGCTTCCTGAACACCACCTGCGTTCGAGATTCAGTGTTTTGCCGTAGTCAGTGCCCAGGAAGTTATACCTTTAATGGTAGTCTTGCTGGACACCCAATACCCGCAATACTGGCCCATTTCGCCAAGTGTCTCTGAAGATGTACAACTTAGGTTAGTCGCCGTCAACAATGAGCCGGCCCACTGGACCTCTGCGAATTCGTCGCACCCATGGCTAAGTGTCCAGAGAGATAGTGTCTTCTTGGAACGAGTTCGGCCCAGTCTGTTGGCGTCCAAGAAGACAATTCAGATAAGCGGAAGAGTCAACACTCGCTGGACACAATATCGTCCGAAGCGGGGATAGCCCGATCGATACTTATTGGTGATGGTCCTGATGGAGGCCGACGATCCGCCCCGATTGGTTGAGAGACGTTCCGGCGCTTTCAGCTGATGCTTTCGTCCAAGATCTGCCTGAACTTCAAGTGTTACTCCCCGCAGTGTCTGCAGGATGTAATTCCATGATACCATGAACGGTCACGTTCTGGGTCAAAAACTCGGCGTCTTCTGACTATGCTTTGAGCATGCCGTCCGCTGCAGACACATTGTTGCGCTTTGAAAAATATCGAAGTCAAGACTCATAATTATTGTGTCACATGTACTACCTCGAGCTCCGCCGCATCGATAGCATCTCTGAACTTAATTGACCCGCTCCGCCCACTTAGCCGCAAGCTTAGAAGTCAAAAATTCACTAATTCGAGACGCAATTGAGCAACCTTGCCTGACGGTTGAAGCGAAGAAGTGTCCCATGGACGAACACGCTGGATTCAATGCTTCAGGTCCACACACGTAGCACGCAGCTCCGAGATCAGAGCTCGTGTGCTTTCATGCGAAATGGTCCCTGACAGCCAAAAGAAGCAAGTTCAGTATGCGCCTCACAGGCACAAGATAAGACAATGTATAGCAAGCAAGCCAATTAAGAGGGCCGAATGAATTTGTGTACTGTGCTTCCGGCCTGCGGCGTCGACATCATGTCAAGTTCTGGTGAATCTGTGGATTCAGCTGATTCTTATTAATCAGATATAGACCTGTGCCACTGCAATGGAAGAACGGAGTGCTTGCCGCCCGTGTCTACGCTGCGCATTGCGAGTCGAAACGAAAGAGACCTCATGCAATCGCGGCAGTCTTCTTCTGAACTTATATTTCAACGGCGATCTGAATTGTCTTTCTCCAGTCCCACACGATGTCCAGAAAGACACTGATTCCTGGATTGTGACGCTCATTGAAGGTATAGCATGAATTCGAGGGTCGGTCGCAAGCGCGCGACCTCTCAGTGTTCAATAAGAAATACTTTTGAAATTAGAATTAGTCGTCTGGACACGTATTCCAGGTGGACACATACAACGAGTTCGAAACCCGATATTACTGAGGTAGTCATTCACGCTGTTAAGCATCCAAGAGCCTGTTTCACGGCTAATCTTCTAGTTCAAGAAATCTTGGAGGAGCAGGGTTTTTGACATTTGGACATTTTGCAAGACTTGAACGTCAAATGTTATCTGAGTATCGCCCTGTCGAAGTCTTCTGGATAACAAGTCCCCAGGTTCGAGTTTGAAAGTGCTGGGGTCTTTGACGAAGACATGGCTCCATTCCGTCTTTCCCCCGCGACCAACTTGTTGAATTTGAAGGCGGCCAATTGATTTCTAGCGCCCGACCTACATTTACCCGAGGAGTGCCCGGTTCCCAAGTGACGCTAAACCTGAGCTAAACGGTGATCAGGCAGTCTGATGACCGTACTCCTCAATTCTGCATTTTACGACTCTGGGTTCGGGACAAGTCCTTTCTTCCTCTCCTGGCACGGAAGGCGCGGAGAATCTAAAGGAGGGCTGGCGGCATGACCATCCGAGCGAGAATGGTGTCTCGCTTAAGGCCCCCCTGCTCCAGCCTAACTCTGATCAATCTCGCTGTTGGACACTTCTCCTCGCAGCGGAACTTTTTTGATAGTCTTCCGGAAGAAATATTCAGCTTGTGGACGACATTTTTGATCGGAGCTTCTAAGACTCTCGCGCAATGCTCGGGATCATATGAGTCAGTTAGTCTTCTCCAGCTTCGTTCTCGCTGACGCCATCCTGCATCACAGTCTCCCAGCTATCACTTGCAGCCTGTGGTGATAGAGTTCAGCCAAGTGGCTATGTATAACATGACTCCGTGGGTGCTGTGAAGGGAAAAGTATGCATGCATGCCCCAATTGTGCAGTTCCATCCAGGAGCTGTCCGAAATGACACCTCCATCGGTGTCAACTCTGGCCCTGCGGTCTCCAGGAATCTAGCTGTTCGGACGGGGAACGACCGTACTGCTTAGCGCGGCATGTGATCAGGGTCATGGTGTCCTACGAAATTACATGATGTTCACTCAGTGGCAAGAGATGCTTTACTGGTGTGTCGAGGATGTCTTGATTTATATAACACGCTGAAAGCGTCCCTCCAGTCTCTTCAGCAACTTCTATCCCCCGCCCTTGTCGTACATACCGTTCAATAAATCTAGCTGCTATGTCTAACAACACTGTCGGCACTCTGTCGATCGACCAGTGCGTCGATCCCAACGGCTCTCTTGTCTTGAACGTACCTATTCGTGTCCCGCCTGCTAAACTCGCCCCCACTGTGACTATCTCATATCATTCTGCCGTCCATGATCAAAGCGTCATGGGCCACGGCTGGTCCCTGGATGCATTTGGCCTGGTCCAGCGTACTGCGGCGACGGTGGCTCAGGATGGATTTGCTGGTAAATAACCTCTCACTGAGAATACGTGGTCATTAACACGAATGGTTTATCAGGATCCGTCAACTACGATGCAAATGATCGTTTCACGCTCAATGGGCAGCGATTGATGAAGATATCGGACACAGAGTATCGTTACGAAGTCGATCAGTGGGCCAAGGTTGTCGCTGTCGGTTCCAACGCAGCGGATCCTGATAGCTGGATCGAATATCTTCCTAACGGAACTGTTCGTGTCTACGGGACCACCAATGTAAGTGCTTGGATATGCGCTGCACTAGCGAAGACTGATTATACGGCCCATCCAGGACTCCAATATCAAAGCCCAAGGCCAGAGCGTAACTCGAGTCTGGGCGGTCTCGGAAACCTATGATTCCTTCTCCAACTATTCTTCTTTCGCATATGTCAATGATACATCCAATGGTTCTTTCTATGTCTCCAGTATCAACTTTGGCGGAAACAAAGATTTGAAAATGTCGCACCAACGCGTACTCAGCTTTGCTTACGAGAACCGTCCCGATATCGAGACCGAATACACAGGAGGGTACCCTGTGACGCTGACGCAGCGTCTCTCATCCATCTCTGCTACCGTCAAAGGCTCTCTTGTATATAAGCATTCTTTCGTTTACGACACGGCTCCGGTAACAGGATGGAGTCGACTGCAGAGCGTCGCGCTATCCGACGCTTCAGGCACGTCTGTCACCCCTCTTGGATTTGATTGGTGCAACTCTGCGGAAACTGTGTTCGACAATCTGACGGCGCTCACCCCACTCAAGCCCGACGTCTCGACTGCACAAGTATTCCCTGTGGACGTTGCCGGTCGCGGTATGACCGATCTCATTCTGGCCTCAAGCCAATACGACTCTGGTTCTAACATGCTGTATCTCGATGTTCACCTCGCGGACGGATCAGGAGGCTTCAATCGTACGGCCGAGAAAGGGTCTGGTTCGACTAAGCTCTTGTATCCCACACATCTTCTGGCTGTCGATGCAAATGGCGACGGGAAGACTGATTTGGTGTGTACTAAATTTTTTTCCTGTATACAATGTACTCATTTGTATTGTGCATGAGGTGTAGCTTCATATCATGGGCGATTATTCATCTGGTGATACCGAACACATCCTCACTGTGCTTCTTTCGACGGAGAATGGATATGTAGCGCAACGAGAGACCACCTTCACTCCCGATGTTCCAGACGGACAATACTTCTCTGGAGATTTCGAGGTAAGGCAATATAACTCATCAAGTTTACTTAACCTAAGCTCCTGCGATTTGCTAGGGAAATGGCAACGTCGGTTTGATCTATCTATACAATGAGTACGCAGGTGGATCGCAGGCTTTCTCCATTGTACAGTTCACTTGCGATGGCACTTCCTTCCACGACCAGCCACCTGTAATGGGGCCGAAGGACATTACCGTCGAAGGAGTCCAGGTGGTTGTCGCCGACTTCAATGGTGATGGGTAAGCCCTCCAAACGTATCATATAATCGGTGCTCGCCTCATCAGATGTGATCATAGTTCGGATGATGTATTCCTCGTCTCGTCGCTCTACAGCGGAGGAAACATTGTCTGTGAGATATCGTTCTTCCAGTCCCAGAGTGGCAGGCTCAAGTATCGCGATGACAATCCGTTTGCGAAGATTGGCGAGAGCATTTCATGGACTGACACGACGTCATTCCTGGCTCTCCCGGAGCAAGATGGCAAGACGGGGCTGCTCGTGCTGTCTCAGAGCGGCACCGGCTACCTCCAGTACCAGACCCTTCGCAGCACTGGGAAGACGCTTGCTGTCTCGGCTCAAGTTACTACGAGCGTGCTGTACGATGGGAACATCACGCTGGGTCAGAGTGCGTCCACAAACTCACTCGACATCGTCAACATATTCGAGGCCGTTGATGGGACTGAAGTCTCGGTTCTCCATTTCTACAACGGCTCATTCGTCAGCATACGCGGGGTGAAGCAGCCGCCTGGCACCGTTCTCCAAGGTTACAACGTCAACTTTGCGGACATTCGGGGAATAGGCAGGGCGGATTGCTTGTTTACGCTTTATGACGACTCGAAGGATGAGCTCTCGTTGTATACTCTTCCCTGCGCCGGGACTGTGTCCACGCCCGCTGACTTCATTACGGGATACACGGGCGGCCTCGGTGCGCAGTTCTCGGTCGCATACGCCCCGTTGACGGACAAGTCCGTCTACGATGCACCTCCCACAACCAAGGGATCTGCCGCTCCGTACGTCAACGCTCTGGCTCGCATATGGACAATGAGCGCTCTCGTGACACCATCGAGTGCATCCACGCTGCCCATCATGGGCAAGGGCCGTTCGCGGCTGGTCCACTTCCCGAAATATGTCGTCAAGCAGATGTCGAATTCGGCGGTTCCTTCTACTCAGCCTGATGGATTATCTCAGTCAACGTTCTTCTATACGAACGGGAGGATGTCGTTCGACGGGAGGGGCTGGCTGGGTTTCGAGACGATTCAACAGACGGTGCAGCCTCTTGGAGCAGTAACCACGAACACGTATCTGCAGGAGTTCCCATTCATTGGGCAGATGTCTCGGACGTTGATAACCGACGCTGCAAATTCCAGCAATCGGTTGAAAGAGTTGACGTATACATTGAATTCCTTCTCTGCGAATGGCGGCGCCAACTGCTACACCACGATGCCAGCTGCTCATCAAACGTTCTACGAGAATGGCTCACAGACGTTTACGGTCGATGCTAACCACACCTACGATTCCTATGCTAACATCACCAAGACTGTGATCTCGGTAACGGGTAAGCCGGATCTGACGTTGGACCAAACCTATTCCAACGATACGTCAAAGTGGCTCATTGGGAGTAAGCTTTCGGAATCAGTCACCTCTGGCAGTAACACCTTGAAGCAGTCCAAGTTCGCCTATCTCTCGGGCACGCAAACCATCAATCATATCGACGAATGGGTAGCGGGAACGCAGTGGTCATCTCAAGATCTCTCTTTGGATGCCACCGGAAATGTGACGACGATGAAGGGTCCCGGGCCGGCATACAAGACTCTCGCCTACGATGACACGTATTCCTTCCCTACTACGGTCACAACAGCAGTCGACAGCCAGAACTCTCTTACTACGAAAGCGACCTACGATCTTAGTATTGGTCAGGTTGCGTCTGTCACAGATAGCAGCGGATTCATCAAGGCCCAGAAGTATGACGTTCTTGGCCGGCCTCTCGAGTTCTCTGAAGGAAACACATCATCGAGCTTGACTGTGATAGAGAAGCGACAGTACACTACGCTTGATAGTCAGCCTGTTTGTATTCGGCAGACGCTCTGCGACTTCTCTTCCAACTCTTGGTCCAAGGAGACAGCGTACCTGGACGGACTCCAGCGACAGTGGAAGACCGCCGTGCTGAGTCCATCCGATCCGTCGATTACGGTTTACAACGAGATTCGCTACGATGGCGCTGGCCGAAAAACGAGGCAGTACCGAAGTTACAAGAGCGGCGACACGAATCCTGAGTATATCGAGTATACTTTTGACAGCATGTCTCGAAAGATCAAAGTTGTCTCTCCTGCAGCTATTGAGGGCGCTAGCGCGGTAACGGCCACATACCAGTACAGCTACGTCAACGGCCAGACACTCAGCACGGAGACGAAATCTGGAGGAGGTGAAGACAGCACGACTGTAGTAAGTGCTGTTGAGTATTTCCCTAATCCTGACTCTTCCGCGAAGGACTTCGTCAAACCGCTGATCGTGAGCTCCGTCGATGAACTCAGTCGGCAGATCCAAACGACATACGACCCAATGCACCGCATCATAGCTGTGATAGACCCCAGCGGCGTTCAAATAAATCAGCAGTGGGATGGTCTCTCGCGACAGCTAGGCCGGCAGATATCGAATCCAAAAGGAACATCTCCCGACGTGATCAGTAACTTCTCGGTGCAGTACGATGACGCTACCAATACTACCACTGTCCGGAACGAGCTCCTGAATACATCAGTTGTCGTGGAGAAGGACTACATGAACCGACCGACGAAGAAGACCGCTCCCGACGAGGCCCTCACGTTTGTTTACGACACCGCGTCGGCCAACGCACTCGGCCGTCTTGCCTCGGTGATGTCTTCGAAGGGCGCGGAGGAGTACTATGCTTACGATTCCAGAGGCTGCCTGGCCACTTCCACTCTGAATATCGACGGCCAATCCTTCGCGACATCGTACGAATATACTCCTACACGGCAGCTCAGTCGAACGATTAACCCTGACGGATCTGAAGTTTCCAAGACGCTGTTCGCCAACAGCGAGACGGTGAACAAAGTTACGCTCAAGGACGGTGCCTCTAGCAAGACCGCGTCCGTAGTTTTCAGCAATTTCGAGGATCCATTCCTCTCTCCTCTCGTCTGTGATATGGGCAACAGTTTGAAGTCCAAGGTGACACTCGCCGAAAACGGTGCTCCTCTCAATGCAAGTCTCTTTAAAGGCAGTTCGACCACCCCTTTATACCAACAGTCTTGGAAGTTGAACGGTCGTGGCCGAATTCAGCAATACGACGACGATTTTGCCGGAGGTGATGTTCGGGCATATAGCTACGATCTAGCTGGTAAGTCGCATCCACCCCTCATGCGTTCGACATGTTCCTCAAGTCTTGTTCTTAGGTCAACTTGTTCAATCTCAAGCGAGTGGAGGCGCTCAGCCCGCGATCTTCTCATATGACAAGAGCGGGAACATTGCCGCCAAAGATGGCAGACAGTTCGTCAACACCGGCTGGCAACTCGATACCGTCCGCGATCCGGCGACAAATAACGTCTATCGTACCTACGGGTATTCCGCCGACGGCAACCTGACCTCCGAGAAAGACGCAGATGGAAAGACTGTTCGCTCCATGGCCTACGACACGGAGGGGAAGATGCTGGACTTAAACGGGACAAAGTTCGTCTACAACTTCAGTGGCCGCATGCTGAAGGCAACGCGCGCCGATGGGTCCATAACATACTATCCGTCAGAAAGCTACGAAGTCACTATCAAAGATCAGGTAACCACGCAGACATCATATCTCCTCTTCCAGCATCGCCGTGCAAGCATCAGTACGATTGTTCAAGACGGAAAGCCGACAGGCACTCCTACCGTGAACTATTACCACGGCGATCATCTGGGGAACATCATTGCCGTGTCAGACGACGACGGAGATGTCGTCACGACGTACAAATACGATGCATTCGGGCAGGTTACTGTCAACGGACCAGACCTCTCTCGATACAAATATAGTGGCAAGGAGATGTTTGATGGGTTGTATTACTTTGGTGCTCGATTCTACGATCCTGTGGTACGGCTTTTGTCCGTAAACCTGCCTCCAACGGCGCTGACCTTGCATGTTCTCAGACTGGCCGTTTCGTAACTTTGGACAACATCACAATCTCTTTGGCAGGAATCACTGCATCAAAGTTCAACCAGTATACGTTCTCGCAGAATGACCCCGTCAACTTCATTGACATCAACGGTAACGAGTCCTTCTGGTGGCATTTGGCCTGGCACCTGTACGGTTCTCCCTTTCCACTAGCCTATACTTGATCTAACTCGATTTGGACTCCACCCAGAATCGTCGATATCGCGCTAGTAGCCGCGGGAGTATTAGCAACCGTCTTCTTGCCTGAAGTCCCGATTCTTGCCGAGATGGCATTTGGTGCCGCGCTCAACGGATTCATGTACGATGGTGAAGCCCTATGGAATGCGACAGTCAATGGAACGTATGAGATCAACGACGCCGCGTGGGGTATTGGGCTTGGTGTCGGTGCGCTGTCAGGTGCGGTGGGGTTCCTAGGCGGCGCAGCAGCAAGCAAGGCGGGCTTCGCGGCGATCGAGGCCGCAGACATACTTGGTGCGCGTGTGGGCGGCAAGTTTGTTGGCCATGAAGTCCTGCAGCTTGCGCAGCGCGGTGCTGTGCAGGTGGCTCTGTCGGGAATCAACGGCGCCGTGTCAGGTGCAGCGCAGACAGTCCTCACTAATTTGGCGAATGGCCAGAAGGACATCTGGGATGGCGTGGGTACGTCCGCGGCCATTGGAGCTAGCACCGGCATTATCACTGGGGGTACGCATTACGCTTTTCAGATTTGCGGACACGAGTCACTCATATTTATTTTGTGCAGCGTTCAAGGACTTTGCGAAGTCGAGTGCCAAGGCCCTGAGGAATCGGACTGAGAGCGAGTTCTTCTACAGCTTGTTGGACGCCAAGTCGACAGTGCCGACCAACGTGTCTACGGAAGTCCGGGGCATACAGATACTTTCCTCGCGCATACTGGACGCTGTAGACGTGCTACCATTGCAAAATTTCTCGCGTTCCAGTGGCGGACAACCCATTCCTCAGCCGAACCTCGCTCCGACCAACGTCCTTCTCGCGGCACCGCAATCCAATTTCTTCTAATTCGGGGCTCGATACCATGACGCGATGAGAGGGAAGTATGTACCGATAATGACGTCTATGTCTGTATGTTCGTTTGAATTAGCCACATATCTATATGCAGGGAAACATTTGAACTGCATCTGGCTGTCATTTTGTGGTTTTCGAACGACGGGCTGTGGAAGGATCTCAGTAGGAGAAAACCAGTCTCACAACGATATAATTAATCGAGTGGCGGCTGCACGACTTGGATATAATCGCAAACCCCTTGAACATGACAACTGTATCAAACCTCGGTGATACTGTAAAAATATTCGACGCATTACTTGCATATTCAGCATTCGGGGGTTAGATGATCTCTGTAATCCGCTGATCCGAGTAATGTCAGGGTAGACGTCATGCGAATCAGCACATTTGAGCGAGCGATAGATATTTATACATAAGTTATCCTCTAGAGCGGATTTTCCTCCAACAGCCTGTAGAAATCTGCCACTAGATATAAACTGCCGGCCACCACAATCAACTCGTCTCCCTCCACGGCCCACTTTAAGGCGGAGCGCAGCTGCTCGATCGGCTCTTCAGCCGAGCTCTCCCAAATTTCTGCATCTGGTGCCAGCTGAGAGACGACAGCCCTCAAGTTAGGAAGGGATTCCGGCTGCACCCATGGCATGCCGGCGGGAGGAGAGAACTGTAAAAGCCCAACTCGATAACTAGTTGGCAGTGATAATAGTGGAGCCAGTGTCTCTAAAGGAGACTTGGGTGGCGAATGCGACAATGCGACAAGGAATGTAATAGGGCGCGGAAGTAGAGTCTTCAGATACGCTGCTAAGGTAAAGGCTGACGCGGGATTGTGCGCGCCATCAGCAAGAACCACGGACGAGGGGGTGAGCTGGTGGAATGAGAGTCGCCCTGGCCACTTCGTATTCTGTATTCCGCGCGAGATTGAATCTGGAGTGAGGTGCGCCAACCAGGGAAGCCGGTCCACCGGACAGTGAGTAAAGAGCGCGGAGACGACGCCCAAAGCTGTACCAAGGTTCGCGAGCTGGTGCTCACCGTGCAGAGGAAGCAGAGCGCGAATTGATTCGGGGAAGCACGGGAGCTGGGCTTGCACGGATTGTGGGAGAGGTGGCAACATCGCCGGAGAGTTGTTCCCATGTAGGACGACTGAAGGAGCGAGAACTATTTCTGCTCCGACTTGAGCCGCTGCTCTGCGCACGACGGGCTCTACTTCTGCGTGAACTTGCTTCCCCAGTACAAACGGCCGCCCGGGGCGCGCGATACCTGCCTTTTCGAGTGCGATCGCAGAGACAGAACTTCCGAGAAATGCCTGATGATCCAAATCAACGGCAGTGAGGGCCGACGCAAGCACAGTTGAGTCCGGAATGATATTTGTCGCGTCGAGGCGTCCGCCCATCCCCACCTCGAGGACAACGGCGTCTGCTTGCGCGCGCTCGAAAATGTGCAGCGCAGTACAAGTCAGCAACTCGAAACTGCTGGCGCCGATGGCGTGTGCCGCGTCCGTCTGCTCAACATGCGACCGTGCTGCCTCGTAGACATCCGCGGATACAGGCTCATTGTTGATGGTAATGCTGTCGCGGATTGAGACTAAATGTGGGCTGTTAAAGCGGCCAACAGTGCGAGCAGATGAGGCTTGGAAGATGGACGAAAGCAGTGCAGCTACACTGCCCTTGCCATTTGTGCCGGTGATATGACACGTTGGGCGGGTGTAAGGGACGAGTTTAGCTTGCAGCCTGCGAATCCGGTCGAGCGAGAGGTCAATGGACATGCTGCGGGATCGTTGCCGAAGGTGGTGGGAGCGAGCAGAGATTAGAAACGGGGTTCTAGCGCGATGCGTCGGTGCAGATAACGACCATGCCCACATGCCCGACGACGGTTAATGCAGACTCTCGTCCCCAACACGCATGACCATGCACGCAGCAGAAAGCTGACGAGCGGCGCCGCCACCGTCGAGCAACGATAGATTTTAGAGGCGACTGGTGGCACAGTGGCGCGCGGAGCTAAATTTATGTTTTTCCGACATACTCCGCTGTTCTCCGGTGGCTGACACATCGGAAAAACCCTAAGTCCTTCCAATTACGGCCAACGGAGCTTCAATATCGAGTGGGAACGCGTTCTCGGAGCTCGAACCTGTGTTCGCCTGGAGGGTGCTTTCGTTCTCGCGGTCCACCCAGTCTCCACCATCACAATGGCTGCTCCTCCGCGTAGGGTCCAGCCGCCAACCCAGCAATACTACGCTGTTCCTCAGAGTCCTCAGGCGACAAGTCGTTTTCAATCGCAATCGCAACCTCAAACAATGCCCGTCCCACAAGCATCTGGTAGCCAAGCTGGAAGGAACGATACTGCCTATGGAGTCGCGACAGGCGCTATCGGCAGTGGTTACGGGCCATATTCTGTTCGTGCTCATTCTATACCGTTTTGTACTCGATGTTGAGCTCAGTACAGTATAATCCGACGCTCAGCAACGGACGCTATGCCTCGTCACGATTTAGCGCTGCGATTTCGGAGACCTCAGTCGGCACTGCGGGCGAAAACACTGTCAACACCACTACTCAGATGATCGGTACAGCATCTGTGCAGCCTTACCCGTACATGTGGGATACGAGAGACCCTGACCTCGACGATGCTCTGCACAACCCCGACCCGATCCGAGATGCAGCGATGGAACGCAGTTGCACGCCCTTCTCGGCGCGTGGATGGATGAACGCTTCAGCGCTTTTCCTTCTCGTCGGCGCCCTGCTTACATTGTTTGCGGGATATCCTATCATCAACTACTATGCCAATCCGACGCCACAGACAGACGGATACAACCTAGGCTTCATCAATGGGTCGGGACAGATACCTGATATGCCAAATATGGCTGCGCTGATAGACAAAGACACTCCGAGTTCTGCCAAGTCCTACACATCGCCTGACGGTGTCACGTATGACCTTATATTCAGCGACGAATTTGACACGCCGGGGAGGACGTTCTGGCCTGGAGACGATCCGTTTTGGGAGGCAGTCAATTTAAACTATTGGCCGACTGGTGATATCGAGTGGTATGCCCCTGAGGTGATATCTTTTCCTTGCAATTAATCTCACGACACTAATGGGATTGACTGAAGCAAATAACTACGGAGGATGGGAAATTGGTCATTACCATGGAGGAAGTTGAGAATCATAATCTCAACTTCCGCAGTGGGATGTTGCAGTCGTGGAACAAATTTTGTTTTACCACTGGGTATATTGAAGTATCTGTTAGCCTTCCGGGAGCACATAACGCACCGGGCTTTTGGCCGGCTATCTGGACTATGGGAAATTTGGTGAGTTGCTGCCTAGTGCTCAGAGGCTGCTACTGACATTTTATTCAGGGTCGCGCTGGATACGGTTCGACTACAGAAGGAATGTGGCCTTACTCATACGACAGCTGCGATGTCGGCACGTTCCCAAACCAAACCTACCAGAATCACACTCCCTCAGCTGCGGAAGGCCTCAGTTACCAGCCCGGACAAAGAACATCGGCATGTACGTGCCCTGGAGGTGATCATCCTGGACCTTCGGTCGACGTTGGTCGTGGAGTACCGGAGATTGATATCTTTGAGGCTCAAATTGATCCCGTTGGATGGATTGGCGAAGTATCTCAGAGTATGCAGGTTGCGCCTTACGACGCCAACTACATATTCTTTAACAACAGTCCCGCGACGACGGTTTTCGATTCGGATATCACTGCAATCAATACCTATCATGGTGGGCAGTATCAAGAAGCCGTGTCTGCAGTCACGCAGATCGACAGTGACGTATACAACAATACGGCATATGCAACATACGGATTCGAATGGTGGTCAGACCCCAGTGATCGAGCTGATGGTTTCATTACATGGTATAGCCAAGGGAAGGAGGCATGGCAAGTTACTTCCGCTTCGTTGGGACCTGATTCTGTCACCGAGGTTCAGCAAAGACTGATACCGGAGGAGCCCATGGTATGTGTATATTTCGCCGTTTTTACGTCGTACTCACGCTGCTTGACGCCGCATAGTATATTATCATGAATTTCGGCATGTCGCGTAAGTAATAAGATATTGTACACCGAGTTACGACGCTGAATTTCTGGCTAGCTTCATTCCAGGAACAAGATTGGGCCAACCTACAATTTCCTGCGAAGATGTATGTCGATTATATCAGGGTATATCAGCGTTCAGACGTCTCAAACGGGGCCACTTGTGATCCTCCAAACTATCCGACTGCCGATTATATCGCCAAGTGAGACATTTGATCGTCCTGCTTATTGTCGCTAACGTCCTCGCTGTAGTCACCTCAATGCTTACTCGAATCCTAACCTTACCACGTGGACGCAAGCAGGGTACACGTTCCCAGACAATCGTCTATATAACGGATGTGGTTGAGCGTGACGACAGGTTTCACTCACGTTTACCTGTTAACCGGAGCTGGCGCACAGCACGGGCATTCATTACTATAGCTTCATTTGTGACGACCTGCATTTACCCCGACGGACATCTACACTATCTCCTGACTACTTCTTAGTTCCGTGCCCTTCCAGTCTCGGACCTTTCTACTCATGGACCGAATCATACCTCACGTCTTCCGCACGGTGTACACTCGCTTTCTTCAATGCCCTGCTGCTGTGCTGCACGGCTGGTTGGGCGTCTTGAAAGCTAGACGACCCGCATCGCCGTGCAGCGTTAATGATGTATAAGCTTAGCTGTTTTCCTGTCTCTCTTTGCTGTCTCTACGTAGAAATTGTGATACGAATGTCATCAAAATGAGCGGACGCCGTATGTAAAATTGAGGGCTGAGGCGGAGACTTGCCATATTAGGTCATCGTGTGGCGACTTAATCGGTGGTGGGCTCATCGAACGGGTTCCCCTCGACTTCGGCCACTGCCACATCGCCAGCCTTCCTGGCTGGGGATCGCTTAACCTCCCTATATGCACGGCACACAGACACCCTTTCCTTCTTCCTCTGACCGAGACCAGATTGCCGCAATGCATAGTCTCGGGAAACAGCGGCCTCCCTCGTCCATGAGGGACATGTCCGATTCGATGACAGTGAGGAATGGGTATGAATCTTCTTTTACATGAGTCTCGGCGCAGAATGAACACTATCATAGCGATGCAAAATGGAAGAAATCGCCAACAGTAGTCCAAACACCTACCAATCACTCTACCCCATTTGTTAACCCGTTTAGTAGCCGTATGGGAAGCAATCTGCGCGGTGGATCACGTCCACAGGGAGTCAACAACAGTGGGCGTACTGTTCTCGATATTTCTCAATCAAAGAAGCCGCGGATAGACACCGAAAAGCAGCAAATGACCGCACCGCTTGGACCGATTCCTGTGAGGGAGTTCTACCCAAAACCAAACGGTGTGTAGGTCGTTGTGCATCTTCGTAGACACTGTATTGATTGTTTGCATCGCTCTGACAATGAAGGGATGGGGTCGAAGAGTACTCGATCTGCGGGTCCATCTAGTAACGCCATGCCTAGTACGTCGAAGGATGTCATCGAGGTGCTCGACGACGATACTCCTGATATTGGACAACGGGTAAAACGGCAGCCTCAACGGCGTGTCAAGGATCGGATTGGTGAGAGTCCGGATCCCCTGGACTCGCTCACCCCCGAACCATCGCATTCCAAGTTCTCCAACGACCTCCATGATTTCGAAACGTATTCACATTCTGCGCCATCGCGCCGTTTTCCTCGGGACGGTGATCATACGCGTCGTCTCCAGGAACGGATACAAACGCGCAAGGTGGTGCAAGTAGATGACGACTCGGATTCTATAGAGTCCACCTCTGGGTTTCCACTTCCACCAAGTGGTAATACTGCTCCGCCTTCGGGAAAGTCACTGTTTGTAGCGGGAAACGTAAAACAGAAGGTTGAAAGCTTCGAGAAATCGTCTAAACAGCCCCGACGACTCGATTTCAATGAGATAGCCAAGGTGAAAGCCAATGTGAAGGGTAAAATGAAATCAAAGGTAATGCCTGTTTTGTATATCTTATACCTATTTCTAATCATTTTATTTCATAGTCCAATCTTCCTCAAAAACTGGACCCTCTAAGCGGCATATCTGGTTTTGAACACCACAAGGAATCATCTGCGAGGAAGAATCAGATGCGATCATCGGAGGACATCATATTGCCACTTGAACAATGGTCGCGAGGTTATGAACTCTTTTGTAATCAAGACGAAGCCAACATTGCGCCTTCGTACTGGCTGACACTTTCACCCGACTCTCGACTTCTCGCCATTCGTGGGGTTTCAAGTGCCCCAGATCCAACGAAAGGCAGACCCCTACACGAATTCAGATTAGACAGGGATATTGACACATTCACGGTACTGTGTCATCTACTCTCGCTCTTGAATTGTGACAGCTCATGGTGTGCCCACTATTAGTATTCGACCCCATCACAGAAGGGCGAGCCAATGATCCTACGTATAAAACCATCAGCTAGAAACTTTAAGTATGCGTCGCCCACAGACAAACACAAGCCAGGTAATCGAGACGATCTACTTTGCTACTCCAGCCCCTGACACTCATGTAGGATCCAATCAAGACGACGGTTTCATAACTTTCAAATTTATGACGCGGCACCCGAACTGGCAAAATGGAGATCAATATTCTAAGCTCTTGGAGACTTTGAAAGTCGCAATCCGTAAATCTGAAGTAGTAACGTGCGTTTGATTTTTAGGCATGTATTGGGTCGTGTATTCATAATGTGCGCGGCTGGCAGTGGCTCAGGTTCTAAGTCTGTGTGGGAAATGGTGCTCAATGCAGCGCATCTCAAAGAACCAGAGATTGAGAGGAAAGGAGTCGCTGCTTTCGCGCATGAGCGCGAAGACATGGTTGCTTCTTCATCAAAATCCGAGGCTAAACCAAATTCTCGACCTAAGCCACAAGCTGCTTTGTATGACCCTTGCCACTTCTGCATTGGTATGCTAAAATCTTGTTTCATAGCAAGGGTTCGACTACATCAACTCTTCCCGGCGCACGTCCAACAAGGCAATCTACTAGACTTAGTGCTCATTTCGAGCTGAAAACTGGACTCGAGACTGAACCTGAGCCTGAGCCTGAGCCTGACGAATTGTATGTGCGTTCCATAGTCCGTGCGATGCTGATATGCAAACCCTCGTACAAACAGGATACTTGTATATCCGCCAACCGGGCCTGGTGCTATCAACATATACAAGAGCGACCTCAAGCGACTGGACGAAGGCTCTTATCTTAACGACACACTGATTGAGTTCGGTCTTAAGTGCGTTTTGATGAATGAGTGGGAAATAGCGACACTGACTTCAGAGTAGGCTGTGGCTGGCTGACTTAAAGGCTGACGACCCGTCATTTGCAGAGCAGGTTCATGTGTTCAGTTCATTCTTCTACAAGAAAATCAACGTCAAGGAGTAAGGTCAATTGCGCTTTTAAATACCTCCCTGCTAATTACTTGCTCCTAGTAAGGACGAAGGCTATCAGAGCGTTCGAAAATGGACGTCTAAGTTCGATATCTTTCAGAAGAAATATATCGTGGTCCCAATCAATGAAAAGTATGTTCGATTGTCGTGTTCCTAGTGGGATGACTGACGCCATGCAGCTTTCATTGGTACCTAGCGATTATCTGCAATCCAGAATTTGTTCTGGTGCCTGCCCCAGTATCTGAATCAGCCCCAAAACCTATGACGAGGAAACGAAAACGTGAAGACGCTAGCGTTGACGCGACGACACCTGATCGCGATGCAAGGCACACTAATGCCCGACCACGCTCCCCCGAGATCATACCTGATTCGAACCCGACCAGCCCTCAACGCTCGCCACCTCTAGATAGCGAAGGAGACGTAGAGGACTTGTTGCACGTCACACACTCTTGCACGCTCAGTGACAATAACCTCTTGTTCTATCCCGAAGACTTAACTTCAGTCGATCAGTCAAGTATCTCGGAGCCGTCTCACATTAACAACACAGATGCAATGGACGTCGATTGTATGGAGCTCCAGTATCCTACGTCTCCTTTGCGACAGCCAGATAATATGGATGTAGACGAGGTTTCGAGTCTGTCAACACTTGTCGATAGAGAGAAGACTGAGATCGATACCCATGATGGATTGGAAACGAGCCTTAGATCCAGATCAAACAATTTCTCGCCTATCAGAGTTTCCAAATTCTATGGCAAGGGCTCTTCATCGCAGAAGGGAGAGAAGGCACCAAGAGCATCGACTGGTTCGAACCAAGAATCGCGGGAGGACGGTGTAGATGAACTTGATGTATCCGCAGACACGTCGGGTCGCGAGAATACGTCAGTTTCCTCGACTGCAACGTTCTTAAATGGTTGTGCACTAATGCTCATGTCTTGGTAGCACATATGTATTTATCTTCGATTCGCTGGGCAGCAGGCATCCGCAGGCTGGCAAAACGTTGTCCAGATACCTGCAGCTGGAAGCCAAGGACAAGAAGGGCATCAATGCCTCTGAAGCAAAGTGGAAGAACGCTTTAGTCAGTATGAAGTCTAATTTATGCTGGCGCCCTTCTGAACACGCATGATCTAGGTTCCAAGTCAGCCCAATTATTGCGATTGCGGAGTATACGTACTACACTTTGTGCGGCAATTTCTGCGTGCCCCGGATACCTATTCCAATATCATCTTAGTGCGTCTCATCCCAATGAATGTTCCTTGATCTTTTCCGACTGAGTATTATAATTAGTCCCTGACGTCCAAGAACTACCCTGCTAGGGATCGTAAGACGCACTGGAAGGATTCTTCTGTCAAAGGTCTGAGAGAAGATATACGAGGTCGTATTCTACAGCTGTCGGAAACATGGAAGAGCGATCGTGGTACGAAGGTCGGAGAGAAAGAGACTGCAAAGGCAAACGAAGTTGGTGGCGCAACTTCGATGAAACACGGCGATTCGGACGACGTAGTTGTCATACAAGATTAAGACTTTCAAATCAAGCCGACGCGGAAGCGACCATTGGCACTCTAGTTGCCCCCTCTTCATGGATGTCATATTTATCGACCACGAAGATTACAATATCAGAATTTGGAAATTCAGTTTGTGGCTTTTACTGATCCTAATCGCTTCGTATTCATATCTATTGTATTCCACAATGCCACCTTTATCTGTCGCATCGTCGCACAATCGTCCCATAAGATCTGCCATCTTCAATATCATTATTGCTTTCGCCCTACAATAGCGCCTGTAATTTTAGGTACAGTTCGTTAATGTCGTATGCTCATCGCGCAGACTATCGGTTTGCCCACGACGTTGAATCAGGCGTCAGCGATGAAATACTCGAGTTCTTCACGATTTTTGCGTCATCATGGGGGAATTCGAAGTGGATCGAATGGCGATGTGTGTTGAATCGTCATCACCATTGACAAGAGGCCGAACAATGTACGGAATTAACGTAACGGTTATAATATTATGTTTACGGCCACTGAGACAGCCTTTGCCAGTGATAGATGAGTCGATGCCGAGCCGGCAGTTGCCAATACGAAAACCTTGCTCCTTGGGCATACATGCATATCGAAAGCACATTCACTACCATGCGAGAGTTCGTCAGCGCAACATCGACGGCAATGCTGTTTGAGCACGGAGGCGATGTGCGGCGTACGCAGGTCACCATCCGATTCGGGCGTTCAATGTTTCAATAAAACTTCTCACTTCAGGGAGCTGAGGGGCTTAAGCCCCGACTTAAGTCGCTGAAGTATCAGCCGATCGCAGGCTGTTCACAAAACTTAAGCCCCTCGGCTCCCTGAAGTGAGACGACCTAATACTAGTATTCAACATTCAATATTCAATGCTGACAGCTTTCTCTTTCTCGTGGTAGGACGTTGTCCTATCGAAATTTCCGAGTCTCTATTGATCATACACACAGTGGTATCGCCGCCTGTCAGCCTGAAATTAATTAATATCGATGTTCTCAGACTCGGGACTTGATTTCCGACTGATGCCTGGGATCACGCGTATGAGTGCGAAGAACCTCGGGAGAGCTTGTGGCTCTGGCCTCGTGTATCCTCCCGCTGAGCGTATTCTGACGAACCACGCTCAAAAGCCATGTCAGAAACGCGCGATCATGTGAAGCCGTCGCGGACAAAGTTCATAACGGAGACGTTACTAGTAGATTGGAAGCCTGGGTAGTTGTCGGCGCCTGTCCCGGAGAACGCCCGGCGATCCTCCAGTTCAACGTTAACATGGGCCGCGACATACTATTTATTCCACTTCGATTCTTTGTGTCACCCAAATGGACAGCGATGCCGACACCGCCTTACACATGGCCCAAGCGAGGCTAGGCCTTGAGCGAACAGTTTTGCGAACCACCGCTTATGTGGGTAGAGGGCGACGCTTTCTTGTTTGTTCCGACGATAAGTCTTAATTTTCGTACACCTATTGGACGGACTGATAGATTTCTCTACTGGGTTCAGGACAGGAGCAACTGATAATATGCCATCAGATTATCACAGCTGCGCTGGATCAATGCAGGTGGCAGCGTCATGGAAGCTTGGGATGCCAGATCGGCGTGCACTAGGGTGGGCTTCTTCCACAAGGCATACTAAGTCGCCGCATTTATCGATTGCTCTCGCCATGCCGTTGTCGTGCGCTTGGCCCGTTTTATATGATTCACGGATGTTAGTTGAACAATTACAACCCGCCCGACCATGTACGCCCCCGTCCCCAGTATTCTCGCCGAATCCTCCAAGGCTTCCGTGCGCAGCCGTATACCCCCAATACCGTTGAAGGACGCGAAATTCACTCTCGATGCATCTGGCGTTGCTGGGTTTTTCGGAGGAGATGAAGCTGTATCGGCGATGGCAACGGTGCACGTCTACCAGGGAAGGAAGTGGCTAGGGTGGTACAACTCGCCAGGAGCATACGAGATCTCGAAGCGCTACGGCCAGCTTGCCAACTCGAGGTTCTGGGACGGACTATATCCCGGGCCAAACACGGATCCCGCTACACTCTTCGAGCTCAATGGCCTGAAGGGCCCACCATTTCGGTCATTTCTATCGGGGACGGTGCTTCCAGACTCTGGCCACCTAGGTGCGCTACTGATGGCAGAATGCGAGGAGCTTAAGAGCGTGGAGATTCCGGGGAGACAGACGAATGGTCCCAAGCAGCTCATCTCGGTCGTAAATCTGCACCACGTTCCGGAGAATGAGATGAATCCGTCCCTACTCAAAAAACATACACAGCTCTACGCCTCCTTCCCAATCCTCGTTAGCGTCGCCGCCTGCGTGCTCAGTGGCCTTTTTCAAGACTGGTGGTGCTTCGCCATGATCCTGCTCGGAATTTTGAGTAGCGGATGGGCGTGTTGGGTAATCGGCTCCGGTCGACTTACATTCATTCATCCGAAGCCTGCGCCGGACTGTCCACCTGGGAATGGGATCCTGAAGGGCCGGACAGGGATTATTGTACTGAAGGGCGAGGAAGGTGCAGTAAACTCGGTTACCAGGGGTCGTTTCCTGTTGCAATTTAGCAGCGAGCCCGAATACCGCAACATCGGCATCGCGTCGCTGTTTTTGACGGTTCAGTTCGTCGCTCAACTTCTTCTCATACCGCAAGGCACGCTGTTTGGCCAAATCATGTTCGTCGCCTCATTGGCAGTTTCATGGGGCTACAATTCGTGGCTGTCTTCGCTCGACAAAGAGAGTATTCAAAGGGAGATTTTGATGAAGAAGATATTGGACGAACCGGAAATTCGAAGCTATAGCATCACTACACGAACAACCATGGCTGTTCTCGTGTGCTTGTTCCTTCTGGATTTTGATCCACGGGAGGCTTCGCTAGAGACGGAGAGAATCTCTCAAGTCGACACGCTCGCATCGGAGATCGAGAAAAAGCGAAACTTGCCAGCGTGGCAAGATGGCCCAGAGACGGAAAAGCCACAAAGGATATCATCGAAGGACGCGCAGAAGATCTTGGAGGACCTTATTCCAAATGACACGGAGGTGTGGAGAAGATTCAGACGTGGTATTGCGGACCAGATAGCAGAAGGGCGCGCAAGGTTCGAACTGCCCGAGCGCGATTCGCAGGACCTGGTCGAGAATGACGGAAAATTGTTGAGAACGCTCTGGGGAGATGCAGAGGCGGCGCGTGTTGGCTATGCTGAGCATGCCACGGATCAAACGCAATCAGCTGAGCGCCTGAGCGTTTAGACCCAACTGTTGCGTACACTCAACCCCATTCTCTGTCGCGTTCTCGCTTGTCGAAATCCCGATGGTCTGTCGTGGATTTGTATCTGATAATCGGTTGTCGATTGCATAGTAGCGTTACGTATTATATTCTCTAGTGTATTCCATCCTGACTTCCCGGTTGCTTGGCGATACTCGCAGTGCTGGTTGCGCTGTGGAATAAACCATGTCAGTATTTTACTTGTCCACTTACCTCTGAAGTCGCGTGCGCTAGATGGCGCTACCACATTCACTGGCACAAGTCCGATGAGTGACTCAAACATGGTGAATGATACCGCTCTGATAGCAAATGTGAAATACCTGGATCCGACGGTGAAATCTGATAGATATCAGTAGTGTGCAGGTAGAACTTACCATTGTAGGACCACGCAGGCGTACTTGCACATTCGGATGGCCGTCTTCCGCTATTCGTCATTCTACCGCCCTGCAGTCGCAAATATTGCATCCATTCAATTCTAGTCAAAACGAAGATGAACCTTATCGCGAACGTGCCTGTGGTCCATCGTATTTGTGTGGTCCTCCCCCTGATATTGGGAGAACATCAGCTCCAAGAAGCGATACATGCTGCACTGGACCACAGTTCGTGGCATGGCGTGTTGCCGACCATTGGCGCTACCTTAACGGTGGTTTGGAACCACAGTAGGGGGCAGTTAGTGCGTGTGCACCTCATTATTCGGCGTGAAAGTTCTGGTACAAGCATGGACATGATGCATGATGGATCCGACGCAACTAACATGTATCCATCTCCCAGCACTACCCGCCATCGCGGACCTTGGCCCGCGAGCAGAGCTTGCCAACCCAATTTGTGGAACGGACCTTTTCCAGGACAATCAGTATTAACTTAGTAGTAGATATTCGATGGAGTTGCATTGTGCATGTCGTGGTCTGATGATGAACTGTGAGGAACGGTCCTGAGACGGGCGCGTGAGAAACACATGTTTTCGCAGTTCTTGCGGCATTCATCGGCGCTTACTTGAAGGTACTCGAATCATCACGGTTGAGAGTACACCGTGATCCCAGTTGATTTCTTGCGTTTACCTCTCACTGCAACCCCGACCTAGACCTTTTCAACTGCATTTTGACAGAAGATTAGTACCTCACGAATTTTGCCGCTAACGGCACGTTTGATTACATGCACACTCCATGTAGACAATGACACCGATTCCAAGCTTGTCCTCGGAGTCTGGACTAACCACACAAGAACGGGCTTTCCTCCAGGGGTTGTTCGAGTTGTTATACTGGCACCAGAAGCACCGGAGTCAGAATGACTTCTAGATAATGAACTTCTGGCCTCATTTTCGCAACTCGTGCTGATTGATTTCGTTAATGGCAAACCACACGCCAGTTTCTTCTAGGTGGAACCGAAAGACGGAATTCGCGAGTCCATCGATTAAAATTATTCAGATCGATACTACGTACTGGTAAGTAGTAGCTACGTATAGAGAAGTGCAAGCTAACATAGTGAGTTTGATGACTAGCTGTTGATCCCGGTTTTAATACGGAAAGAATGACACACGGTGAGGCGTGGGCAGAGTCGGAAGAGGTGAAAGCCGAGGGGTACCGCCTTGACCATTCTGCTACCAGTGGTACTGAGAGCTTGAGCTGGACTCAGCTGACTCTAATGAGCCGAAGGTTGAGAACACATCAGTTCTGTGGGTAGTAGCCAGACAGAATCAGTAGCTGACCACCCCGGGGTGTTCGATGAAATGCCCGTTCCCGTCATAATGTTTCTCAAGAAGTTTACTTGACGCTCGGGCCGGAACCTCTAGGTTTATTCGCCAGTGGCCCGTCGGTCTCCTCAATTCAAACTAAGGAGCTTGCTCATGGTGTCCACATTTGTGCATCCCTTCGAACTTCTCATAGGTGGTTGTAAATCATCATATAATATGTCAAGCTGTGTAGTGATTTTTTCAAATTAGTGTCGTACTGTCTAACACACTCTCACAGCTCCTGATCTCCATGTCGCGTTTGCGCTCTCCGGCTCTTCACTGTACATGACAGCTGAACTTAAACATCTAGTGCCACCGTTTACATCGGCTTTTTTGCGAAACCCACTTCTATCTGAATGGCTCACGATACCGACTTATCTTCGGGCGCGCTCGCGCCCGTGGTCCGACATTATTTTGAGTTTTGGGCCTCGAGAAAGTGGTCCATCAGGAGCCCCCTTTCGAATGTCATTACGGGCTAAATCTCTTCCGAGCGTACCTCTTACGAGATGGAATAGGTGACTATGGATTTGATAATGATGGCTGTTGATAATGTGACCAAACGTTCAGCAGCTTTCATGCTACCAAGCGTGCGCTGCACTCTAATTTCGGGAATATGGCTCGCAAATGCGTATATGCATCTGCATCATCTGCAGAGTTCGCTGATGAGCAGCCATCTCCTAGTCTTGCGGTACTCGCTCTTGTGCTCATTGCTGCGAATCATGGTGCGTACGCTGATATATCTCCTGCCGTGGCTCATGGTTTCTCCAAGCTCCGTGTCTCTTGTTGCGCTTCCTAGCTTACAGCTTTTCATTTGCGCCTAGGCACGTACCTTAGTCTTCATCATTTGATCTGTCTGAGCATATCATCATATCGCCAGGTTCCCAAACATAGGTTGTGCCCCCAAATCTGGATTCTCTGGACATTCTTATTGGGCTTATTAAAAGTAAGATGTATTTGTTTAAAGGTTCTCCGCCGATGGAAATTGAAATGGTTCTGTGGAGTTCGGGCGATTTTCTGATAATGGAGAAATTAGTCGGACTTAGCAAGCAGGATGACCAGGTAGCTTTAATCGACACTTTGGGGAGACAGACGCTGAAGCAAAGGATATAAAGTTGAGTTGCTGGCCAGAGCCTTTCCCCCACTCATCAGCCCTCTGCAGTTTTCTTACACACTGTATCTACTCTCAATAGGCATGGTAAACACAATCAGCGACACCTTCGACGTGCAGTTTCATACGCTGAAGGACAAGTACAAGGATGTTGTCAGTGCTGAGGCGCTGTTCTGGAAAAGATTTCGTGGTGGTACCACCTATGACTATGGCATGCGCATGGAAGTCCCCACCCTCATGAAGGAGTTCGTTGACAACGTCAACCTAGGAACAGGTATATCTTATTCCCAGCATTCATTACGTCTGTTTTTAACCACGTCCTACAGATCCCGAGGGATTTTTATTCTTCAACAACATCGGAGATCTCGACGCAGGCGATGGTAAATACAATGTCTTGTACAACACCACTGGCGACGTCAATCAGCGCGCCGTGCGTGTTCAATTCTTCCACCACAAACAGGGAAGCTTCTATGCCGAGGTCTGCAACTCATTGTGCTTCTCTTGGGCGCCGCTGATGCGGAAATCTTCTGCTAGTTTCTTGCCAAGGACCCTGTGCGTGATATTGAGTGTATCAGCTCACAATTCTAACATCTTGTTTCGCCTCAGAATAAGACTGTCGACTACCTCATTGACGGCCAAGTTGGTAAATGGGCCACTCTTGAGACCGGTTCAGCCAGCGCACACATCAAGAAATATTCTGATGAAAGTGACATCTCGATCAAAATCCCTGCCATCAAGAAGCAAGTGACGTTCAGTGTACCTGACAACAATGCCCATGCGTCTATCGGTGCGTAGATATTGACGTTCTTCCTTCCGTAAAACTGGGTATTGACCTCTGCTTTACAGACGTTTGGGGCAATTTCATGTTCAAGGATATTAGTAGACTCCAGAGTTCCAGCGATCCCTCTTATGCGGACTACAACCAGGACAGAATTGTCTTCTACCGTTCCAGCGGATGGACTGGAAGCGCTGATTTCACTGCTTCCGTATGTCTCTGTCTTTGCTGCTGATATATTGTGCTTCAGTCGACTGACTTACATGCACCAATGTTCTCGATCTGTTAAGTTCATCCGTAAGTCCTTTAGCCAAATGTATCTAATTGGGAAGTAATATCTAGAATATAGCGATGGAAACCGCCGCTGTCAATGCACTTGGAAACCTGAGATTCGAGGCCAACACGGTGTACTGGTCTGATCTCTGAAGTAGAGACCACTCGGGATGGAGCCAGTTTCGAGCAGGGCTAATTATGCACATTTATAAAGCTTGTATTATGTATATGTTTTTTGGAGCTGTGAATTGTGATCTCTGTACTGATGTGAAACACAAACTCATTCTGGCCACCGCTCCGTCCCTACCAACTCCGCATGTTGATCCCAAGTTCGATCTTTTGACGAATACTGAACTTTCCTAGCTCGTATTTGACGTGGTCAGGATCTAGGATCTAGAGACTCCACCATGATTTCGTCGTGATGTCCAACTCAAGAATCGAACATAAACCCCGGTCTTGTCGATGGCAATTCATCATGTGCACTCACCCCCCCAATTTTTCGCGGCGCTTTTGCCACTTGCTAACGTTCCAATTCCGATGGCTCACCGTGTTTTTCATCTGATTGTCGATTATCCATTGTACTTTGGAGCTGTCGTTTTTCCTAATTTTTCGTTTGCTCGTCGATACTCGCAGTGCTAGTGACGCTAATTATGTATCAATAGTAGTATGTTTCATCCGTCCACTCGGGGTACCAGTTCTGAAGTCGCACGCGCCAGGTGGCTCAATAATTGATATGAGTAAAATGCATCTGCAAGTCCGACGAGGGTAGGATGATGGCGCCGATAACAAATATGAAGTTTCTGGAAGGTGAAATTAGGCAGACGCTAGCAGGTACCCATTTGCCTAATATTTGCTCGTTTGCCCTACAGACGTACTTGCACGTTCGAGTGGCCCACGAGCAACATCTCTCATCATATTAATCGTGTTGCCGCAGTCGCAAATACCGGTTTTATACAACTCTGGTCATCTCTGGGCAGCGGAAATGAAGAGGATGGGCCTCACCTTCTTTGTGATTGCAACGTGTCGATGGCCCATCATAGCCACAGTGTGGCTTTCCCCTAATTTTGCGAGAACATCGACTCCATGATGCTATGGGACGTGTTGCACGCGCACTAGACCACAGCTCGCAAGGGTCTCGCACAACATGACCATTGACGCTACTACCTTCGATGACAGTTCAACATGGCACTAGGGAGTAGCTGATGTGTGCATGCCCTGTTGCGCAGGATTCCAAGTCCCGGTGATCCAACACAACTAAGCATACTCATCTGACCGTGTTCATCTCTAGCATACCCAAGCAGCATCAGCTACCATTGCGCACCTCCATCGCTATATCTCCTAGATTCCTCTTAAGAGTTCAAAACAAAATCGCCCTTGATACATTCAGCGTCACAGGCTTCTTCAGAAGAGCTGAAGTAGTTTGTGCAATGGAGACCGTGCATATATACGAGGGCAGGAAATAGTTGTGATGGTACAACTCACCCGGGGCGTACAAAGGCAGTCTCGAAACGCTTCTAGCGGTTCGCCAGCTCGCGATTTTGGGACGGGCTCGATGGCAAATATCGATCTTATCCTGAAGCAAAATCGCTGACTCTGGGCACTTGGGGGGATCGAGAATGCAGGAGTGCAAGGGCAATCGGACGAAGGTGCATGGCATACCTTCCACGGAGGCCACAAGACAGAATGTGTAGGAAGGGCAGAGGGAGACGAAGGCCAACGGGTCAGCACATTCGAAGTAACTCATTACAGTTACGTATCTGAAGGACATCCCCGGGACACTATTGTGATCAACGCCCCCTGAGGAGCGCACACAATTCCTCGCTAGCTTCTCCATCATCAGCCTGGCCACCTGCGTGCTTAGTGGGCTCTGTCGAGACTGGTTGTGCTATCATTGCCTACCAGTCGTATTGGCACCCACACAGTCAACACCAGCAAAGCTGAGAATATGGAAAAGAGGGCACATTTATTGATGCCACGTTGACACCCCGCGCAGAGATCAAACACCTCCCGCACGAAGCGCGCAATCCCCGCCACAGGGCCGCGCCGCTCGAGTACCCCATCAGCCAGGGCGTAGATGACAGGGAACAACGCATATATACAAGCACATGCATCGCTCGGACAGCATCCACGTCACTAGAACAGATCGCGCATGGCCACCAGCCGCGCATCGAGACAGTCGAGCAGAACATGCGCCTCGTCTTCTACGTTGCCATCCACCTGGCAGAAACGACACACCCGCCGGTCGCGAGGGATAGGAGAGGAGACCCACCGGAGCTGCTCCACCGCGAGAGGGTAGTCGCCCCAAAGGAGACGAGTTAACGCGAGCCTGTCGGTCAGGTAAGCATGAAATTCATGTGGTGGGCATGGGCTGACACCCCGTCCAGGGATGTACGCCCTCCCATCCCGAGGAGCAGCACCCGCACCGACCCCATGATGTTCCCCCGTATCGTGTCCTCTACTGCCCGCCTGACACCCGCGATCGCTGCATCCACCAGCCCGGTGGTCGAAGGCCACTGGTACCGGCAGCGCAGCCAGTGCCCAGTGTAGGTCGCCTCACCACGATGGGTGGCCCGTAAGCATAAGGGCACGAGGCTCTTTCAGAGCAGCGAAGAGGAAGGGTGGCGGACAGCGAGGACATAGCGGAGGTAGCACAGGGTCAAATGAAGGCAGCGGAAGCCCACGGGCCAGATGCTCGTCTCGGAGTAGAGGACTGCCAACAAGCGCATGCTGCAGATTTAGATCAATCCCTTCGCCTCATTTTCGTAACTCGTGCGGATTGATTTCGTTTATAGCAAACTACGCGCTAGTTTCTTCTAAGTGGGGCCGAAAAGTGGAAGTCGCGAGCCCATTGATGAAAGCTTTTCCGATTGATACTACGTAGGTGGCAGCTACGTATAGGAGAGTCCAAGCTGACATTCACAGTGATTTTCGTGGCTAGCTATTATTTAGATCTTATATTCAGCAATCGAGGTTTGAATATTAAAAGAAAGGACACGGCGAGGTGTTCTGGAGTCGGAAGAGCTCAGGTAAAAGCCAAAACACTTCTATATAGACGCTGCCCTAACGACTCTTCTATTAGTATTGAGAGCTTGAGTTGGACTCAGCTGACTCCAATGAGGATGAGAAATATTAGCTCTTTGGTGACAGCCAGACATACGCGGTAGCTAGTCATCCTAGAGTGTTCGATGAGATGCCTGCTCCGATCGAAACGTTTCTCGAGAAGCTTGCTAGATGCTTGGACTAGGTCCTTCTCTAGGTTTGTTTGCTAGTCATCGGCCTTCCCAATTGAAACTAAGGACCCGATTAGCTTGCTCATAGTTTCCAGACTTGTCACGGCAAGAGCGAAATGCTGACATCCCTCCCCCATGGGTGGTTCTACATCGTCATCATGTAACTCGTTGTGTCAAGCTGCGTATCAAGTTTTCCAAACCAGTCCGTTGCACTGTCTCATACACTTTACAGCCTTCTGATCTCCGTGCTCACTCTTCACTGTATATGCCGTCCGCTAGGAGCCCCTTTCTTTCTGCACGATGCGTCCGTTAAGAGTTCTCCGCCGGTGACAGTTGAAATAGTTTTGCAGGGTCGGAGATAATTCTCTGGTGATAGAGTAATTGCCATTCCGGTATCAGACTCAAATAGAACAGTGCCCGGAGAGACAGACGCTGGAGCAAAAGATATAAAGTCGTATTGCTGGCCAGAGCCTTTCTCTCACTCACCAGCCAACTGCGGTTTCCTCACGTCGTATCTACACCCAGTAGACATGGTCAACGAAATTAGCGACACTTTTGACGTGCAATTCACCGCGCTAACGGACAAGTATAAGGGCGTTGTCAGTGCCTCAGCACTGTTCTGGAAAAGATATCATGGTGGTAATAATGTCGAGTATGGCCTGCGCATTGAGGTCCCAACCCTCATGAAGGAGTTCGTTGACAACGTCAACCTAGGGGCAGGTATATCCTCTCTATTCATGGCTTGATGATAACCAGTCACATCCTCATTCAACTGCATTATATAGATCCAGAGGGATTTCTGTTCTTCAACAACATCAGCGACCTTGACGCAGTCGACGGTAAATACAATGTTGTGTACAACACCGTTGACGACATCAAACAGCGTGCGGCGCGTGTTCAATTCTTCCACCAGAATCAGGGAAGCTTTTATGCAGAGGTCTGCAACTCCTTGTTCTTTCAGTGGGTGCTGCTGACGCAGAATCCTTCTGTTAGTTTCTTGCCAAAGACCCGGTGTGTAATATTGAGTGTATCAGCTTATATTTCTAACATCTTAATGCACCTCAGAACAAGACTGTTGACTACCTCATTGATAGCCAAGTTGGTGCATGGGCTACTCTTCAGATCGGCTCAGCCAGCGCGTATATCAAGAAATACTCTGACGAAAGTAACATCCTGATCAAGATCCCTGCCATCAAGAAGCAGGCCACATTTAATGTCCCTGAAAACATTGGCAACCAAGCTGTCGGTGCGTGACTGTTGACGTTTTTCGTTCGTAGAATTTTGTACTGATCTCTGCGCTATAGATGTCTGGGGTAACATCATGTTCAAGGATATCAAGAGGCTCCTGAGTTCCGACACTCCCTCTTATGCGGACTACAACCAGGACAGAATTATCTTCTACTCTGCCAGCGGATCGACTGGAAGCACTGACTTCACTGCTTATGTGCGTCTCCGTTTTGGGCTTCACGTAACTGACTCGTATGCACTAACCCTATTGTCGGTCTGTTAAGTTCATACGTAAGTCCCTTCAGGCAAATATATCTAATTGGCAACTAATTTCTGGATGATAGCGATGGAAAGCGCCCCTGATGATGCGCTCGGGGACCTGAAATTCGAGGCCAACACGGTGTACTGGTCTGACCTCTAAAGCGAACACCGCGCGGGATGGGGCCAATTTCGAGCAGGCTCAGTAAATACGCGCATTTATAGGATCGGGTCAGACGGACGTGGGGGGCCTTGCATTCTGTACATGTTTTCTTAGGGCTGTACATTGTGATCTCCGATGTACTAGTGTGAAACACACATTCATTCTGCCGGAATCTGACCGCCTTGTCCCTGCTAACTCTGCATGTCGATCCCAGTTCCGATCTAGTGGGGAATACTATACTTTCGTAATTTGCGTCTAACCTTAATGGGGTCTGGAGACTGGACCTCCTCCGTGAGGCGATCACAACCTCCAACTCAATGAATAAACACAATCACTCTGATCGATTCAGCAGCTGCAGTGGATGGTACGTTCGCCAGCATCCCGGTTATTACAGTTCAAATCACATCATCGCGACTTCTCTCCTTCAAGACTCCGATTTACAGTGCACCAAAGCCGTAGCATCTGTTAGCCATACAGACTACAAGGCCGCATAAGTCGAGCGTCTGAGTGTTTAGACAAATCTATTGTGCCCTCATCCCCAATTTCTTTGCGGTGCTCTTGCTTGCTAACATTTCAATCCAATAACTCATCGCCCAGCTTCTCCTCATTCCCCAGGGCACAGTCTTTGAGCAGACCATGTTCGCCACGTCGCTAGCGGCCCGGGCTAAAAGTCGTGGCTAACATCGCTCAATAAGGAAAAGATCCAGAGGGAGGCCTTGATAAAGAATATATTGGACAGCCCGATGACGGAGAGCTACACCACAATTGCCAAATTGGCCACAGCAGTCTTCATATGCTTGAAATTGTCGGAGCGCAAACCGTAGGAACACCATAGATATGTTTCCCAGACCGCATCGCCAGCAGGCATACAATCCTCAAGCACATCAGAGGTGTTCTGACAACTCCCAGGAAAAGTGCGCTGAAAATGACTCACGAATTGTCATACAGACCATCTGAAGACGTCCCACAGGATCCTCAACGACACAGCCGCGCGATGTCCGAAGATGTCCACCGGGATAGCTTGCCTATACGTATTGCAAGGGAAAACCCCCAAGATAGCGCAGGACAAATACTACAGGACCTATACGTTGGTGTGAAAGGGGGTGAGGCACCGTGCCGACGACTGATGGGGATGATCTTACAAATGAGGACCGAGGACTTTTGCGCGCGCTGTATCGGCGCACGGAGGATGCGCGAGTGGCTTTCTTTGAAGGTTCAGTTTCTTGATAGCTACATGTAGGCGCTGTGATTTTGCTATCGGTTTGCACTAGACATCTGCCTGACTCGTACATCGTTAAGTAAAGTGATTTCTATGTTCCTAACTGTGTAACAACTTACCAGGGCTATCTTCGACTCTGATTACTCTCGAAACATCTGGCGGAGCGTAGTGAATCCTGACAAAATGCGCAGGTCATTGTTGGATTGTGACCCATGGGATGCCGGGACGCGGGAGACGCGGCCAAACGGAAACTACCGAGAGAAGGCTCTGTGTCCATATATGGCAGTCTAGAACCATGCGGATGCAAATTAAAATCACGGAAGTAAATTACCATGCGGCCATTGCACGGTAAGCCTTGACCTAAAATATTCAATACCATTCCACTGTGACAAGTCGAAGACTGCGATAAGCTGGGAACCGTGTGCCAAGCTCCCCATCTACGCTTCCCTGCCTCTGCCTGACAGTCCCTGACAAGATCCCCGTACCGCGACCAGAACTCGCCGGTCGGCATCGCCATAAACTCGGTCATGGCACCAAGGAAAGCCCCACATAAATTACCACGTCGCACGGTCCTATCATCCTTCCGTCGTGCCGCGCTTCCCGTCCCTAACATCAATAGTAACGGCCTTGATCCGCGCCTTTAGTACTTACCAAGAAGCTTCATGCAAGCGACGTGCGCAGACATACATATTTTGTGATTGCCGTATGTTTACTGACCAACTCTTCCTGCTATGTACATCCCCAGCACGCAAGCAGCCACCTCCCTCCTCCGCCGCAGCATCCCCCAGATCCCCCTCAGCGATGCGAAATTCACCCTCGACGCATCCGGCGTAGCCGGTATCTTCGGAGGAGATGAGGCCGTCTCGGCGATGGCGACCGTGCACGTCTACCAGGGAAGGAAATGGCTGGGATGGTACAACTCGCCTGGGGCATACGAAATCTCCAAAAGGTACGGCCAGCTCGCCAAATCAAGGCTCTGGAGTGGTCTCTTCCCTGGCCCAGGTACCGACCCCGCCACGCTCTTCGAGCTCGATGGGCAGAAGGGCCCAAGATTCAAGTCGTTTGTGTCGGGGACGATGCTCCCTGATTCGGGTCACCTGGGCGCATTGTTAATGGCGGAATGTGAAGAGATAAAGGGTATTCCTATCGCAGGGAGGGTTTCAAAGCCCGCGGTGAAGGAGGTGAAAGAAGAAGGGAGCTCGGACAAGGATCTGGCGAGCGTGCAAACCCTCGGAAAGGAGGTCAAGGACTTGGAGAAAAGCAGGTTGGATCCAAAGACGCAGCTCAGACTGAAAAAAGACGCGAAGCGGCCGACTCTCGTTACGGTCGTCAACCTCGACAACGTCCCTCCCGACACCCTCTTCCCCACTCTGCCCCGGAGACACTCCCAGCTCTTCGCCAGCATTCCGATCTTCGCCAGCGTCGCCGCATGTGTGCTCAGCGGGCTTTTTCAAGACTGGTGGGCCTTCACCATGATCCTCCTTGGCATAGTCACCAGTGGTTGGGCGTGTTGGGTAATCGGTTCTGGCCATTTCACTTTCTCACATCCCATCCCGGCAGCCGGTAGCCCGCCAGGCGACGGTATCCTCGAGAGCAGCTCGGGTGTCGTCGTACTTATCGGAGAGGAAGGCGCAGTCAACGCAGTCACGCGTGGGCGGTTCTCCCTGCAATTCGGGAGCGAGCCCGAGTACAGTAACATCGGGATTGCATCAACGATGCTCATGATCCAGTTCATTGCGCAGCTGCTGCTCATCCCGCAGGCGACGCTCTTTGGTCAGCTCATGTTCGTCATGTCACTCGGCGTCTCGTGGGGGTACAACTCGTGGTTGTCTTCGCTCGATAAAGAAAAGATCCAGCGCAAGATCCTCATGCGCAAGGTGCTCAAGCTCCCGGAGGAAAACATGTCGAAGTTCACTGTCACCACGCGCACGACGATGGCTGTGCTTGTCTGCCTCATCCTCTCGCGCATCGACCCTCCGAAGGTCTTGGACGATAACGTGGAGGAGCTTGCGCGCGATGGACCGGAGAAGATCCTGCACTACCTCATCCCGAACGACACGAAAGTGTGGAATAGGTTCCGGCGGACCATCGCTTTGCAGATCATCGAAAACCGGTCAGAGTTCCAGTTGGATTGCAGTGACCTTGTGGGCCTGCAGGACAGAGACCAGAAGTTGCTGATGACGCTCTGCGAGGATGCAGAGGCGGCGCGCAAGGCGTATCACGAGCACAACATGGAAGCTATGACAAGCCGACATCGCTAGGCTTTACGGTACACATGCGCCCAGTGCTCTTCCAAAACGCGTACCATCTAATTCACAAGATTACTGTTCAGTCGCACTGCTGCCTCTGCCTCCGGCCACTGGATGTTCCATTATTCGCTACGTTACGCTCTCGACGGGGAATTTCTTGTTTCTAGCTGTGCCGATTCGGCTTGTATCATTACTTACGTCTGCTGTCAATTACCACACTTGCTAGTAGGGCAACTTATCATCGTATACAAGAGCGGAACATCAATAATTTCCGATGTTTCATGAGTCTGAGGTCCAATAGAAACATTTTTGAGGTAAGTACTGGCTTGAGCGGAGGTGGCATCTGGGAGGTGCTGTCGACTTCCATAGCTGAAAACCCCAATGCCCATAAACCCATTCAATTGGCAAGGAGTGCTGTTGAACATCTCAGAGTTTCCGCCGTCACTGACTATATGCACATCCACTCAACTTTATATTATATGTTTTCGAAAACTTTGTCAGTGTCAGCAAAATACGCATTCCACTAGCACACATAGCATGTATAGGTAGGGCATGCTGCATTATCGATGGCAGGGAGAGGTTTGTCATTATCTCAGCTGGTAAGATAGGCCTCATTCATATCGTGGTCCATCACGTGATCATCTACTGTCACGCTTACACCCTTTTTGGCGGGCGAAAGCATTGA